ATTCCACATTTCCCGTATGCATTTATCTGTTGGTAAACACCTAGATTGATTCCACATCTTGGCTCATGTGAATAGTGCTACAGTGAACATGGCAGTGAAGGTATTTCTTTAACTTTAATGTGAATTTCATTTTTTTCACATATATACCCAGATCTGGAATGGCTGAGTGAAATGGCATATATATTTTTATTTTTTTCGAGTAACCTCCATACTGTTCACCATAATGGCTGTACTAATTTGCATTCCTATCAACAGTGCATAGCAGTTCCCTTCGACACTTCCTCACCAGCATTTAAAAAAAATCTTTTTGATAACAGTCATTCTAACTGGAGTGAGATGATACCCTGTTTTTATCTTGATTTGCATTTCCCTGGTAGCCAGAGATGTTGAACATTTCTTCATGTGTTTGTTGACCATTTGTATTTTCTCTTTAGAGAAGTGTCTATTCATATTCTTTGTACATTTCTTAACTCGATTGTTTCTTTGTTGTTGACATTTTAAGTTCCTTATATATTATGAATATTAATCATTTGTCAGATGAATAGTTTGTAAATATTTTCTCCTGATCTGACAACTCTCTCCCCTCCGTTGATTGTTCTCTTATGCTGTACAGAAGCTTCTAGTATGATATCATCCCATTTATTTTTGCTTCTGTTGTTTGTGCTTTTTGGATTTTATCCAAAAAAATCACTGTTTATGCCAATATCTTGAAGTACTTCCCCTGTGTTCTCTTCTGGTAATTACATGTTTCAGAGCATAACATTTACGTATCTAATCTATTTTGAGTTGATTTTGTATACCACTATGAATAAACCTATGTGGGTGAAGGTGAGGAGCCTTATTTCAATCTTCTGTACAGTCAGTTTTCCCAACAGCATATATTGAAGAGTCTATTCTTTCTCTAGTATATGTTTCTCCAGTGTGTGTCTTTGTCAAGGAATCATTGGATGTAGATGCTTGCATTCATTTCAGGAATCTCTGTTACATTGTCTGTATGCCTGTTATTAGGCCTCCACCATGTTTTGGTTACAATACCTCTGTAGTAAGTCTTGAAATCTCGTCTCTGATTCACATAACTGTGTTTCCTCTGTTAAGGATTGATTTGGCTATTTGAAGTCTTTTGTACTTCTATAGAGTTTTAGGATTGTTTTTCCAAGTTCTATGAAGAATATCATTGTAATTTTGATGGGTATTTCTTTGAATATGTAAGTTACTTTGGGTAGTATGGACATTTTAACGATATTCTTCCAATTCATAGACATGGAAAGTCTTTCCATTTTTTTCAGCTTATTTTGTTCAGCTTACTTTGTAACTGTTTTGCTGTTTTCATTGTAGATATTTTCAAATCATTGGTTAAATTGATTCAAAGGTATTTATTATTTTTGTAACTATTGTGAATGGGACTTCTCTTTTAATTTCAGTCTCAATAAGTTTGTTATAGGTGTATAAAATGCTATTGATTTTTTTTCATATTTATTTTGTGTCCTGTAGCTGCTGTATTTGTCAAATCTAGTCTTTTGATAGAGTCTTAGATTTCTTTATGAAACTATGTCATCTTCATACAGGGATACTTTGATGTCCTCTTTTCCTATTTGTATGCCTTTTATTTTTTCTGTTTAATTGCTTTGATTAAAATGTTGGTTACATACTGAATTATTGCAGTAAGAGTGGACGTTCTTGTTTGGGTCTAAATATTACAGGAAATGATTTCAGCTTACCCGAAATCCCTAACAACCTTCTCTATCTTAGTAAATAACAATTCTGTCTTTCTAGTTACCCCCTCTGATCATGACTTCTTTGTCTTGTGCCTCCTATTTTCTTTTTATTTTATTTATTTAAAGGCAGAGTCTACAGATAGAGGGAGAGAGAGAGAGAGAGAAAGGGAGAGGGAGAGAGGGAGGGGGGAGAGAGAGAAATAGATAGAGAGCGCGTCCATTTGCTGGTTCACTCCCCAAATGGGTGTAATGGCTAGGGCTGGGCCAATCCAAAGCCAGGAGCCAGGAGGTTCCTCCAGGTTTTCCACATGGGTGCAAGGGCCCAAAGATGACCATCCTCTGCTGCTTTCCCAGGCAAATTAGCAGGGAGCTAGATTGGAATTGAAGCAGCTGGGACTTGAACTGGCACTCATATGGGATTCCAGTGTCATAAGTGGCGTCTTTACCTGCTATGCCACAATGTTAACCCCATTTTGTGCCTACTTTCTAATTAATTTGCCAGATTGGTATGAACTAACATGAAAATACATACATTATCCAAACTCATCTCCTACTTGCATTGCTATAATCCTGATACAAGCCACCATTCTCTCTCACCTGTACTACATACTCCCCACCCCCACCTCCTCACATTGCAATTCTTGATACAGCATTGTAATAATCATGTTAAAACTCAATTAAATCATTTCACTCCTCTTCTAAAACCCTGCAACAGTTCCCTGTCCCACAGAGAGTTATTTGTCCTATTTGTCACTGCTCTGACCTTACTTCATACTTCTTTCTTCATTGCTCACTTTACTTCAGGCACAGCTGGACTGCTTACACTTGCCTGGGGGGAATAAAGATTTAGCTAAAATTGAACCAACATTGATTTATCTGAGGTGATAAATCAATCCTCCACATAATTGAAACTGTGTTGGATTTTACCCATGAAGAAGGCATCTAGCAACTAGACCCCTGGCAACCATCTTAGAATCATTTTTTTTCAGATTCCGCAAGGGTCTTTGACAATGGGGACTTTGTTCTTCAATGTAAGAGTATGAGAAAATCAATCTAAGAGGGCTGCACATTTATATTTTTTAACTTTTTATATCATAAAATGTTTTAAATTTACAAAACAAAAATTGTAAAGCAGTTTAAAGACTACTCCCAGCATCTCCTTTACTAACATATTATAGTAGTATGAAATATGTTACTGAATTTTGCATGAGATTTTTTATTTTAAAAAATTAGCTCTTCTAGAAAATAGTCAGTTAGGTATTACAGTTTTATTAAGGCTTGTAACTTATAGCCATTAAATAGATTTCTGCTTTTTATTTAATTTTTTTTGTTTAGATCAACATTTTCAATCACAAATGAATTCATCTTAAAATTTAATGAAACGCAGGATCCAGTAGAGAAGGAGGAATTGTTGGAGATAGCTAGAAAAAGCATTACCAAATGTAAGGTAATGGTACACTCTTTCATTACTTATTACATAAACTTTCTTTTGTAGCTGGCAGATGATAACATATTCTAATAGGTACACTTTTCTTTAATTAGGCATAGCTAAAATATTAATGCAGAGTGCAGAAATAATTCAATGTTAAATGGCTTTTGGAATGAAGGTTCCTCATAAATTATTGGAAAATATTCTTTTTTACATCAGTTCCATAGTCCATAGCAGAATATCAAAAGCTGGCTAAGAAATCTTTGATTATGAAAAATTTAGTGTTTCCTGAAAAAATTTTAACTGAGATATAATATATTCCCAGAGAAGAAAGAGAGCCTTCCTAAACCATTACCATACTTGCCAAAATGCTCTGAATTTCCTCTGTAACAAATTATTCTTAACTTACAAAAAAGCATACATTCTTTAAGATTATTACAGGGGTGTGCATTTGGTGGAGTGGATAAGGTGCCCATTTCAGTTGCCCACATCCAATATCAGTGAACCTGAGCTCAAGTTCCAGTTCTGCTTTTGACTTCCACTTGCTGCTAACATGAATCCTGGGAAGCAGTAGGCTCAAGTACTTGGGTCTCTGATACCTATCCAGATGGGAGAGCAGAATTGAGTTTCAGGCTTCCAGCTTCAGCCTGGCCTGGCCCCAGCTAACTAGGGGCCTTTGAAGAGTGGACCAGCGAATGGGAGATCTGTCTCTGTGTCTTTCAAACAAATAAAATAAGTGAAAATTTTGTAGAATATTTATTTATTTGAAAGGTTGGAGTGACACAGAAGGAGAGACAGAGCAGAGAGATCTTCTATCCACTGCTTCACTTTCCAAATATCCAAAACAGCAAGGGGTAGGCCAGGTCAAAGCCAGGAAATTGTTGGAACTCCATTTGGGTCTCATGTGAGTGGCAGGAACGCAAGTACCTGGGCCATCATGCACCGCCTTTCCAGGTGCATGCAGGAAGCTGGATGAAAGCAGAGCAGCTGGGACTTGAACTGGTGCTCACATGGGATGTGGTGTCTCAAGCAATGACTTAACTTGCAGCCCCACAATACCTGGCCCTGAATTTTTTAAGCATGTTACATTAGTCATTAGTTCTCTAATTTTTAAACAGATATCAAAGCAAAGCAGTAAGTAAAATAGGCTTCCCTTGATTTTCCCTACATGAGATTCAATTTGACAGGAAAAATATACATAGAATTTTTCTTTGATGCTGAATAATTCATGAAATTAAAAAAAAAAAAAAAACCTGTACAAACCAGGGGCCTAAATTAAGCCACTATTTTGTATGTGTATGTGTGGTAGTTTTTTTTTTCTTTTTTTCCCACTTCTTGCTTGCCTTTACATTTGAAAATTTTGGAAAGATATATTTATAATATTTGAGGGAGAAAAAAAATGAGAATGCAGGCAAGCACCATCAATACAATCATGCATGAGTTTTTTCCAGTTGGCCCTATGCTCCTGGGGTGGCCGCAGGAGTAGGTGATATGAGGGAGGAAATGCATCCTGATCATCTCTCTTGTGTTCATTAATGGTGAGCCCATCAACATTGAAGTAAGCAGTTTTCTAGAAAATTGGCATCAAACTCATTTCATTAATATTTTTTCTTATAAAATTAGAAATGCAGTCTCTTGGGAAAATAAGATAAAATATTCTCAAGCAAGCAAAAAGTGAGAATTATTCTCTGTAAGTAACTAATATTATGATACAGCATATTAATAAATGTTCTCTGTCGCTCCCCCTCTTCATGGAGGAACGACACTAAACCCTGCCTAGGCTTCATATCCGAGTCACGGCACCATTATGTCGCTCCCCCTCTTCGTGGAGGAATGACACTGAACCCTGCGCTGTTCTTTTGTCTGCTCGGCCCTCCCCGGGTTTGCTGCTGGTTCTTCCCGGGTTGGCTACCGTCCCTTCCACCTCCGTGGAAGGGCGGTTCCCCCTGCCACTTTCCCCACTTCCCCAGGGGAGCGGCACACCACCGGCCGGCTCTCTCGGGGGCTGCTCAGGTGTTCCTTCAGATAGATGTTCCCTGGTGCATGTTGTCTCTCTCCTCCTTTATAGTCCTCTTCCACCAATCCTAACTCGGCTGCCCACACGCCGAGTATGCTGCTCTCCTCCAATCAGGAGCAGGTCCTGCTGCTTATTGGTTGAACTGGAGGCAGCTGCGTAGAAGCTGTTCACTCCTCTCCCAGCGCCATATTGTGGGAGAGCAGATGCATAGAATAAGTCTTAATTCCAGTAACTTAGTCTAGTCCGAGTTGCTCCCCACAGTTCTCTACATCTGGAAGCTTATGTAGTTATAGAAAATTTTGAAAAATACAAATAATAAAAACAAAATTATAAAGATGTGTTCAACTCTGACTATGGAGCCTTGACCTCATAGACTGACTTTCAAAATATAATTAACAGATGGAAAAAATAAACAAATAACAAGCCCCATATATTTGTTTGCCCTTTTCATGCTTCCTTGTAACAGAGAAAACTGGGTCTTAAAACCCTGGGCTCTGGAAAGCATGTTGATCTTCCAGCTGCATGGACTGAAGTAGTGTTTCTGGCTCAATGCAAAGGAGAAATCCAAGATGGTATGTATTCCAGCTGGCCTCTTAAGTATCTTAGGTGTCTTCTAGATTAGTAGCCAAGGAAACAACTGGAGAAATTTTTCAGAAATTGTGTAAGAGAAAATTAAGATTTTTCAATCACTATTAAAGTATCTTACATTGTTTCATTGTGAAACTTCCTTTTATACTTTTGAGTTAGGACTTTGTAATTTTGTTTCAAAAAGTTTCTAGCCTCTATTACTTTTTTCTAAAATTAGTAACTCATTAAAATAATATGAAATGTCAGTAGTTTCTAATTACCATACATATTATATGTCAGAGAAACTTATTTCTACATTTTATAATTCTTAATCATAAAACAGGAATTAAATTACCACTTTTTTTCTGCTTATTTAAACCAACACTTTTCTTTTATGTATCTGTCTTCAGATACCCTTTTCTCAACCTAAAAAAGAAATTAAATAACATTTTTAAAAGATTTTTATTTATTTATTTGAGAGACAGAGTTACAGAGAAAGAGAGAGATGTCTTTCATCCGCTGGTTCACTCCCCAGATGCCTGCAACCACGGGAGCTGGGCCAATCCGAAGCCAGGAGCCAAGAGCTTCTTCTGGGTCTCCCACATGGGTGCAGGGGCCCAAGCACTTGAGCCATCTTCTACTGCTTTCTCAGGCCATAGCAGAGAGCTGGACTGGAAGAGGAGCAGGCAGGACTCAAACCAATGCCCATATGGGATTCCGGTGCCACAGGTGGAAGCTTAGCCCGCTATGCCACAGCACCGTCCCCAATAACATTATTTTTAAGGGAACAAAATTATTTCTATCATCATCCTAAATATTTTGTATATGCCCTTTAAAATGAGTTAGAGTGTTGACCACATGAGGTCAGAGAATACTTCCTCATGTAAATTGGGTTTATAGTGCTTTCTGAGAGTATGCAAACAAGAGGAAGAATAAGAAATATTTTGTATTTAACTTGCAATCCTTCACAGTATCATCCACGTCCTGACCTCTTTGAAATGTTTAAATGCTATTGAGCAAAGCTTTCTTTGTTTACCCTCCATCAGCAGCCACTTGCTTTGAATTGGCAGTTAGATTTCAGTTTTATTATGGCATCCTACAGTCTTGTGATTCAGAGGAGCACTGGCCATGGCCCAGCCCCTGTAGCTGGTCTAGCTCAGTTGCAACAATTCCCTTTCACTCACCAGTGATTGGATTAGGAAACAAATAACCTGGTCCTGACCAAAGGGATGCAAAGTCAGAATGTGCTTTAGAAAACAACATGTGCCATTCCTTCTCTGTTCCTCTCTCTCTGATGCCTGGAGCTCCTGTGTCATCACAATCAAATACCTCAGGGAACTAACTCAGCTGAAAGCATTCACATAGAACCCTAAATAACATCTTAAATATGGTCCATTTACATCATCTCCACAAAAGAAAGAAACTCCTAATAGGTGTCGTGCTTTTGCTCTTGTTTGCTTCTCATTCTGTAGTTCCTCCTTCATTCAGTAGTGACCATTTTACAGCTTCAAGAATTTCCAGTGGCTTCCAGTTTCACGGAAAATAAACCCGAGTTCCATATTATGATGTGCAAGGCTGTGTGTGTCTTGCCCTGTGGCCATGTCTGTAGTTATTCTCTATGCTCCAGCCATCCTAAGCCCCCTTCCTGTTCTTGAACATGTCCTATTTTTTCCTTCCTCAAGTCCCTGCATTTGTTGTTCTCCCCTAGATATTTCCCTCAAACCCTTTATAGTAACTTGAGATTCTATGTTTTCTAGGTCCTTAGTTCCATATTCTTCCTTCTTGTGCTCGTCGGGTTGGTACTACTTCCTCTGTCTCATCTTTCTAGCATACTACTCTTCTCTTTTACAGACATTGTTAGCACTGCCTTTCATCATCCATTTCTGTGGTTATACATTTTTCTACCATTATATGTGTGGGCTAGCAATCTATTGAGTGTTGGGTGTAGTAGCTTGGCATTCTTGGTCATTTTTCTTTATCTCTTTAAGTGGTCTCCATACCTGGGTGACTTCTGAATCCAATGGCAGAATAGAATTTCCCATATGGCAATTTAAATTTCCAAAGCTAGTTTGAGAGCGGGAGAGAGATTGATCTCCAGGTAGATTACATCTTATTGCTGAAGCACTCACAATGTCTGTTCAAGTTTAAGGGGAAAGCAGCATAGATTTTGTCCCTTGATGGAAAGGAGCCAAAGAATTTGTAAATATATTTTAAAATCACAATCTGTTTTTATGACCAAGTAGTTTATTTCAATAATTAATTTTAACATGTGGGAAAACAGGATGATCTACATTTGATGGAGTTTCTGCTTTGTAATATTTCAGAAGCTTTGAATATGCTCTATGTTTCCCTGGACCATATTTCCTTTGATTATGATCATCTGCCTGCCTTATTTTTTGTTGCGGAGTCCATTTTGTACAGGCTCTGTTGTGATGCACTTCTGAGGACATATTTATATTCAATTGAAATGAAGCTGGCAAAGGTATGTCGCAAACTTTCTGTAATATTTTTAATTGTCCTATGTACTACATGTAGCCACATAATATCTGTTTTAGGATCAGGACAGTTACTTTTATTATAGAATATTCTCTCATTTGGTAGTTTCTTTTAATTTCTAATTGTAGATGTATATTGTTACTTGATATCTAAATGGAAATTAAGAAAATATAAGTTAACTAAATAAGGACGTAATAGTTAATTGAAAATCAATACTATTGTTTTCTGAATCTATACAGATTTTCTCTTCTCAACTTTTAAGGATTTTAAATGCTACCTCATCTGCCATTTAAAAATGATGACAGATAAATGTTCCTTTGAGAAGATGAGCTGTTCTTTTGGTATTCTATGACATTTCAGAGTTTCAAAGTGCTTTATATGGTCTCAGAGGTCTTATGGTTCTGCATTCTATGATCATATGAGTTGACTTCTGCAAAATTTATTATTAGTCAAATACATTTAGCTTAACTGATGGTTTTATTGCTGATGGAGACCAGATAGATGCAGATACACAGGATAGAAACTGACCATGTGAAGAACTGGCACTTTACACATAAGAGATTTTGGAGGGAGAGCCAAGATGTTACCCATAGCTGTTCTGGGATGATGAGCTTAGGATGATTTTTTTTCCTTTTTTCTGTATTTCTCCAGTTGTCCATTATGGCTATATATTTATAATAAAATTATGTAAATATAAATGTTAATATGAAATACATTAAATATATGCACTATTATAATGCTGAAATGAATGGAGTGAAATGGACAAAATAATGGAAAGCAAAAACACAGAGCAAGTGTGACTTTTCTCTCTTTTTCTTGCTATCTCTTTTGGTGACATTTCTGCAGTTCTTGCTTTTTGCATTTCTGATAGAAAGAAAAATCACTACAAAATATGTAATGATTTTACCAATTGAATATATTGCTTTTATTTTATATATACCATGCCATTAAATTTTTAAAAGATTTCCTATCTTCTTATCTGTAAGGCTAGAAGGGGAAACCTGTTGAAGTGAAATGGACACTATGAGAAACAGTGACTTGATCAACCCTTGTCCTGACTGTTGATGTACAATGTAATACTTTATCCCTTTTAGTATTTTTTTTGTTCTAGTACTATTGGTTGAACTCTGCGATTAACACACAACTATTCTTAGGTGTTTAAATTTTAACTGAAAAGTGATCCCGGTTAAATATAAGAGTGGGAATAAGAGAGGGAGGAGATGTACAATTTGGGACATGCTCAATCGGACTTGCCCCAAATGGTGGAGTTAGAAACGTGCCAGGGGATTCCAAATTCAGTCCCATCAAGGTGGCATGTACCAATGCCATCTCACTAGTCCAAGTGACAAACTTCAGTTCACAATTGATCACACTGATAGGTCTAAGAGTCAAAGGGATCACACAAACAAGACTAGTGTCTGATAATACTAACTGATAGAATCAAAAGGGAGAGAATTATCCAACATGGGAAGTGGGATACACAGCAGATTCATAGAATGGCAGATGTCCTAAATAGCACTCTGGCCTCAGAACCAGCCCTTAAGGCATTCGGATATGGCTGAAGAGCCCATGAGAGTATTGTAGGCATGGAAAGCCAAGACACTCTGGGAAAAAAAAAAAAACCTAAATGAAAGATCTCTGTGATTGAGATCCCAGTGGAAAGAACAGGGCCATCCAAGAAGGAGGTACCTTTCTCTGAAGGGAGGAGAGAACTTCCACTTTGACTAAGACCCTGTCGGATTAAGATTGAAGTCAGTGAACTCAAAAGGCTTCCATAACCTTGGCAACTCATGACTAGAGCCTAAACAAGAGTGTCAAATTGTAAGTCAACAACAGGAGTCACTGTGTACTTACTTCTCATGTGGGATCTGTCCTTAATGTGTTGTCCAATGTAAAGTAATGCTATAACTAGTACTGAAACAGTATTTTACACTTTGTGTTTCTGTGTGGGTGGAAACTGATGAAATCTTTACTTAATATGTACTAAATTGATCTTCTGTATGTAAAGAGAATTGAAAATGAATCTTGATATGAATGGAATGGGAGAGGGAGCGGGAGATGGGAGGGGTGCGAGTGGGAGGAAAATTATGGGAGGGGGAAGCCACTGTAATCCATAAACTGTACTTTGGAAATTTATGTATTTACTAAATAGAAGTTAAAAAAAAGAAAATTTGTACATGTTCTTTTTTTAAATTGCTATATTTTTGTCCTTTTATATAATCCACTGAAAGACCTGATTTACAGTCCTTTGTCCTGTCTGGCTTTCTCATGATAAAACAAACAAAAAATCTAGAAGGGTGGGGTAGGTAACTTGGCAAGTTCTTACAGTAGCTACAAACACATAAACAACATTAGCTATGTGCCTTCTACCATAAATGACTTAAATACACTAAGCATATTAATTTATTTAGTTCTCACAGCAACTGTAAGAAGCAAGTGCTATTATTTCTTATACAGGGTCTTACAGATGAGGAAACAGTTACACGTGGAAAGTATAACTGTTACCCAGAGCATCATTCAGCAGAGAATGTTTTCAAACCAAGGCAGTTTGGCTCCAGAGTCCAGTGGAGCTTCAGTTTTGGTGTCACGCATCTACTTGGTTCTCAGATTTACTCATTTTAAAGCTTACTGTTTATTGTTTTAGCTTATATAAGACTAGCAGTGAGAACAACCGTGTGCTGTATTTATAATGGTATTTCAAAAAGTTCATGGGAACACTGAAGTACAAGGTTAAGTTTATTTTGATGCAAAAAAATGTTGAAATCCATACATAATTTTTACATAGATACAGATTTTCCATGGCTGTGGTGGCCATCTGGGGAGTGAACCAGCTGATGAAAGATCTCCCTCTTTTTCTCGCTCTGTCTGTAACTCTGTAACTCTGTCAAAATAAATCAATAAATCTTTTTTGAATATAGACAGTGCACTTCAAACTTTCAATAATCAATGCAGAGAAAGGGCTGGAGAAATGAAGAGAACAGACAAGAAGAGAAGGAGAAAGGGAGGTAAAGGAAATGGGAGGGATGTTGGGAGTGTGGGGGAAGAGATTGGGGAGCAGAGGTTGCATTGAGGAGGCAAAGCTTGCAGTGCCAGGGTGCAGGGAGAACATCCACGGATGTCACATGAGGAGTGATGCAGTGAGAGCCCGGCATTCCTTAGAGATATGGGAAGGCAGACTTTTCAGTAAAAATCTAGTCTTCAGAATATTACATATGAAAACTTTGAAAACCATTTCTGCAAGCATAGCTTTAACTAGAGATAACCTTTGAATCAGGTGAAAATTCATGACCAAATTGGGTTGTAATACAGAAGTTTTTCATACTGACCTACTTTTCATATATTTTCTCTTTTAAATTAAATTTTTGAACATTAATGAATGTTCTTTTCAATATTGATCTCTAATCCCTTGAAAAATCCTTAAATTATTCTCCTTACGACTTCTGTTAATTTGTGGGCTGTACCTGTGGGAGTTGCCGCCTGAACACTGTCATCCAGAACACTGACCCACTCTTTCAAGTGGTCTACTGACCTCCGTGACTTTTTCATTAACTTCAGTTTCTGAGAGAAGCACGAACAGGAACAAGTGGCCTAGAGAAAGAGACATTATTGGCATGCCTTAGCTACATTTTATTTGTATTTATTTGTAAGTCTACAAAGGGTACAAGTTTATAATTTATATTTACAAGTATGGATAGTGAATTCTCAAGACCTGTTAATGACAGAGGCATGTAAGAGAAATAATTGAAAGTCACTGCTGCAGTAGAAAGTTTGTGGCTTTTAGAGCAATACATACTGTCTGCGTTCAAAGTCTTGGTAATGCCATGTACTGACTTACTAGTCTATGTGAAATACTGGGGCTTGGTCAGATTCATCTTCTACATATATAATAATATCAATCATAATAATAATAATGATGATGATAATGATACTCTGCATTGCTGTTAAGAGGATTTGGAAATATCTATCTCTTTATATAACCACAGACACACAAACACACAAGATAGTTATAGCTATTCCTGTTATTTGATTCTTCTTCATGATTTGCAACTTACACAACTTATATTCTATTTTTATTCACAGTTTATATATTTTACTAATTTACTGTGAAGTCTTATATATTATATATTCTTATGGTTATTCTCTTTTTTGTAGTCTATGGAAAACAAACTTCAGCGATACATGTATTTTCAATGTCACAGAAGTAAGATTTTCAGTACTTATTTAGTAATGACACTGCAAGTTTTATTTTTTTGTGAGGGCCTAGGGAGCATAGTACAGCACACTATGCACAAGTAGAATGTTTCTCAGAAATGCCTCAAACTGTTTTTTTTTTCCAGACTGGTTTGATTAAGACCCATATAAAGAAATAACCTTTGCATTGTAATGTAGCACACACATAAAATGCACTCACTACTGGAACGAGGATATACTCTGACATTTTCTCTTCTTCTTTTATTTAAAACCTCTCTCTCAGTTGATTTCATGACTCACTTATGGAGTATGATTGCAATTTGAAAAATACTGTTTTAAAGGATATAGAACAACATGGCATTCAGTATTGGTTATTATGTGTAATGCAGAGATGATTTATGAAATTTTTTTGGTTGAACTAGCATTCCCAACTTGATACAAATGTCTTGCAGTTATTGCAAAAATACATAATATGAAGTGAGTTTGAAGTTGTTTCATCAAAAGTAAATGCAATAACAAAATGATTCATTTTCCTTATGGTTTTTAAGCACTTATCGATGCAACACAAAATACTCTTTTCTTTTCTCTCTTGACAGATTGGCTATTTGATCTTCTTGCGACTTTTTATATATTTCCTGCATGGTCACCTAGAAAGTTTTCAACCCATTTACTTCGGCTTCAACCGTTTTTATATGGTAGAATCCTTTCCATTTTTCACACGTGTAATCTTTTATGTCACACTGTGAGAACTTAGACTGTCACTGTAAAGAGCATAAGCTGTGTTTTATTTTTCATGAGAGGTAATAAATGCAGTGTTGAAGAGCAAAGCCCCTGGGCCAAACAGTGTTAGTTCAGCTGTTGTGCCCCCATATGCAGACTTTTCATTGCTTTGTGTTAAGAACAGTTAAAACCTACTCTCTTAGCTCTCTTTGCAATTTTGAAACATATGTTGTCCCTAACTCTCATCACAGTGCTGTGCAATACATCACTGGAAGCTATTCCTCCTGAGTAACTGAAACTTTGTACCTTGGACCAATATCCTTCCTCTCCCATGCCATTGCTCATGCCCCATTCCCCATCCCCACCCCCACACTCCCTGCTGACTTCCCCATTCTGTGTCCAGCTTCCAACTTTCCTTCCTACTTAAGTGTGTGACCTTGTTTGTTACTCAGTCCCTTATTTAGTAGTGTTTGTGTCACTGATTTTCAAGAAATTTCCTGTTTGAATATGGGAACTCCCATGGCAATGTAAATGCTGGATGGGGATAAGGAGAGAGAGTGGATGCAGGAGGCCAGTTAGCTCTGATGTTCCTAGAGGGAAAAATGTTAAAGGTGGCAACTTTTACAAGGGGAATGGCATACAGTAAAATTGTTCTGGAAAATGCTTAGGAGAGAGAGACTGGACTTGGTTATCAGTTGGATCTGGCTATACATAAAGGAAAGTGAAGAATTCAAGAGGAAGCTGAAGTTTTGGGGTCATGATTTGGAGAAATATTGGAATTCTGAATTTTGCATTCACTCACAGCTATGTGAACTCAGCAGGTGGTTGAAAATGTAGCTTTGGAACTGGGGGAAACAAATGCAGCCTGGGATCCAGATGTGACAGTCATTTATGTTCATGTGGCTGAGATAATCAGAATGGGGAGCAACTAAGTCTAGGAGGAGAATTTTGGGGAACACAAACATTTAATGGATTATTGGCTCCTTGTCTGTGTAGAAGAATTGTCATTACTAATTTTTCCACCATGTGGATGGACCAAAACTCAAAGAATATCTAAGAAGACAGCCGCCAAGACGATTCTGTTGAATATCATAGTCTTATACTAAACGACATTTTTCCTACATTTAAAATATGTGCCTTTAAAAATCAGTAATAAAAACGTCTTGAAATAAAACTGAAAAACATTGGACTAGAAGCAAAGACTTTTTTTTGGCAGAATTGTAATTTCAAAGTATCCATTGTGGATACAATATCCATTACAACTTGATTAATTTTCAGCCGAAAGCGTCCAAGCATTGTTGAGCAGTAACAATATTTAATTGGGCACTCAACCAGTATGCAATTGCGGTTCCCAATTACATAAACTCTTAAGAATGAATTATTTATGTTGTAGTTTTATATTTCACCACCAGGGGGCAGACATAACATTATAAATCTTACCTAGATGGAGAATTGTACAGCGGTTTTGGCTTCTATGTACAGGATATAATTATAGTTTAGTAACTAAAAGAGAAATGAAGCAAATGCAATATACTAATGAAATATTTATCCATTTTTTACGATAGCACTTTGTTTCTCTGGAGAATCATACAATCAATATCCAAACATCCTTTTACAAGTGCAATTTATCCTGAAAATCTCAGAAATTATATGTAAAAGAGAACACCTTTATGGATCAGTTTTTAGGCCCTATGGGAAACCAGGAGGCCTCTGGGAACATGTGCTCTGACATGGTGGGTATACGCTATTGTATGCTGCATCACATAAGATTACTAGGATGAACTAGCTGTGCCTGTCAATTCAGTAAGCACTGCTAGAGATGGACTTCGCTCTCGGCGAGGGGTGCAAGGGAAACAGACGAACTCCATGAAACCATGTGCACATTTTGTTTTCTGTTACACATACCTTTTTTATAATGGATAGAAAATTAATTTTCTAACAATTTCTAAAAAAGGGAAAAATACTTTTTTAACATAATGCTAGTTATGTTAAACATAAACATAAAACATAAACATAAAAGCAACTAAGGCAATTTAAGGTAGGTTCTTTCTCATTGATTTTATATATTTGCTATCTCACGATTTTCCCAGGCTTCCTTTGGACCTTTTCTAATGCTAGATATAAATTAAACATATAAACAAAAACATTTAAGGTAATCTTTTTGAACCTTGTGAATGACTGATACAAAGACACGTTTGTTCAGTAATTTGAGCCTGCTAGTTATAATCACTAATGACCACAAATTGAGCACTGGAAAGAACACTGCTCAGCGATTGGCTGAGTGATCTAGAGGAGGTTCTGTGAGCTCTCCGCACCTCCACCAGCTTAGCTTTGGCAGTCATCCTTGTCACCACCACCGTCACCACTGTGTCTGCTCTCACTCTTTTTGCTGTGAAGAGCTGAAGAAAGGTGGTGCCTATAGATAATGAAGTGCCATGTAAGTGGAAGTTAGGACGACTAAAAACCACGTTTAGGAATTCACAATTAAACCCAGTAACTTTCATCCAAAGGCATGCTTCTGTTGACTTAATGGAATGATTTGAGTGTTTTTTAGACAAGTAAGATGCCATGAAATCTTGGCCATATGCACATTCTAGCTGTGAGGCAGGCAGCTTTCAGTGTTGACTTCCAGGCTCTCTGAGCACTAACCCATTTTGTCACTCTCGGTACACACACAGACAGCAAATGAATGTTTAGCGCCATACAGCTCAGCCCAGGTTGGAAAGGCTAAAAATGTCAGCACGTGACAAGAAGGTATCTGCTCAGAGTGGGGGTGAGTCCGTAAGCCTTTGTGTCTTTTTCCACTTTGCAGAACAAAAGGGCTTAGATTCAGTCTCTTCAGAATCCTGTCAGCTCTACCCTTGTGATTCCAGGAAGGCGTCTTCCCAGATGAGGGCTGTCCGTTTTGTTGCCCTTTTCTGCCTCCTACTTACTTCATGATAGGGACTGTAGCCTCGTCCCTGCTACAGCTGCTGACTTGGCCAATCAGCAGATTGTGTGCTGTCACGTTCCCACTGTCAGCCCCCTTTCTCTAGTGAGCGTAATCTAAGCCAGCCTCTGGAGTTCCCCCGAGAACCTACTCATTCAGCGCCCATCTCTCTCACCTTCTGGAGTGCCTAGCAGGGGGAAAAAAGAGATAAAAACATGACTGATACATTTGCAACCACCTTTCTTTCTTCCTTATTATTAATTATCGAAGAGGATTTGTGAATCTATTTTTTCCTTCAGCCCTTATCCTCTGAAGATGCTAAAATTTCCACTGTAAAATATACGCTTTTTAATAATTCCTTAATTTGTCATCAAAGTGTTGCTAAATTTGCTTTTAAAAGTCTGTAGAATTTATACATCAGGACACACAAAATGTGACTGTTGGCTCTACTTAAGAATAGGACATTTCCTCTCTTCAGCTACTGCATACCATTTCTCTTTTTGATGTCCTTTTAAGTGAATTTAGAGGGTTTCCACTGACTTTGACAAATGGTACTCTTTAATTAGCTCTGAGGATTGCAGGGTCTGAGCCCTGGATGGAGTTTTCCACTCTGTCCGAATTTCTGCTCCAGCATAGCTGAATTTTCCTGAGCACAGTTGTCACATGTAAAAGCAACATAGTTCTTTGGAGAATGTATATTTAAACACAACTAAAACTCAGTAGACTGTTTATTGAAGATTGTCACCCGTTCTGCATCTCAAATATTTCTCATGTGTTCTACATATTAGATCTCTAAAAAGCAGTGAGTATTCTCATGTGGTTAGCAAGCTCACCCTCTGATGTATTAAGTACCTGGGACATTTATCCCATACTTTAGTTAAAAATAGTTTCCAGGAATTGAATTAGACTGAGACAGAGGTTCTTTAAAATTAGGATCATTACACTATGATCCACATCGTATTTTCCAGGTTAACACATTTGTATTGAGAGGTCTTTTTAATGCCAATGTCAACAATCCCCCAAATGAATAAAAGCAGAGATGAAACACAGAAAACTCTGAGCACTCAACGCAGAGTCCACACTTCACCAGTCACTTCTCGCTGGTTTGTCTACCTAAATTCGCTTAGAGTTCCAGCCAGCTGTCGATTAACAGTGCTTTGCTAAATGGGTTTTTCAGAGTAGTCACTAAGTTGGCATTGTACAAGCTACAACTGAGAGTCCAAACCTGGACAACAAGGAGGGAGAGGACACAACCATAGGATTTGGAGAACAAGGAAAGGAAGGGAGGCAAGAGGGCAGCTAAAGGTCCTACGAGTCACTGAGTGCAGTGCTCAGTGCTTCTCAGCCACGTGCCTGGGGTAACAATCGATGTCCAACCGTTTTTTCTTTCCAAACCCTTGAAGAACAACACCTTTGTATAATATAGTAATGAAAATTACTGAAAAATAGAACAAAAAGATATAAAATACAAGCTTAATTTTTGTTTGACTATATATAACAATTATATATATTTATATACACAGAAATGATATGTCCTGCAAGTTGTTTCTTCTTCATGTCCACCCTCTTAGTAACATTTTGAAAATGGTACGTACCTATCAAGCACATCGTGGGCAGGACTGCTTTAGTGAAAAGGTAAAGCAGTTTACACCACTTACTAAGGCTCACCCTCTCTGCTATACTGATTCTATACATGGCAATTGAATTAAAACACAACATTGCTTAATAAATCGAGTCACCCAAGTTTGATACATATTTTTTAAAAGCAGGGAAGAAACTAGGACGATTTCCACGAAAATGCTTAAAATACACAAGGGCACAGGTAGCCATATTGTGTTTATTACTTGTTGCGAAGGGATACTACACTCTACAGGAGACGATGAAGTGTCGCAGAAAGAGGGTGTGAGAATGATTCTATCACAGTACTTGGACTTTGGGTGATCCTGGGGTTCTCTTTAGAGTTGATGGTGTAAAAAAGTAAGATACCCAAGGACTTTGTTTCTGTCTGTGTTTAGAAAAAATTTGTTTTTCAATGACTTTGTTTATTATACATCATGTGGAGTTTTAGGAATTGATGTCCAACAAGAGATCCACATGACCCCATTGTGACCTTCTAACAACATACTGTCCTAAGTCATGGACATCAAAGGCTGCATTTTTTCCTTTGTCATTCATAAGTAACAATGACATCATGTAAAACTGAAAACTAAACTTACATCTAGTTCATTGTCTAAATCCTCATTTTTCCTTTACCAAATACTTTCAGGAATTTTCTCTGCTGATGGTGCGTGATTGTGTTAACTGATTTGATTTTTTTTTTTTTACTTAAATGATTAGTCTGTATAACCATGGAAAAGTGCACCGATTATTTTAATTAGTCAAGTCGTCTAAACGTTTCTAGACATCTCGTTACTAGCCTATTTATTCAGGATAAGTTTTCATGCAGAGGATTGTTGAGCATCCAGGCTGAGGCAGCTAGAACGAGTTGAGAAGAGAATTTGCTATGTGTAGGTTCCATATTTTGGATGGGCTCTACCACAAAAGAAGGAAACTGAGTTAAGTGTGCATAAATAATGTCATATTATTTTAGAATAAAGCTCTTACATGGAATATTCTAAAATTCTCAAGACATATTAGATACCATTTGCTTTACTGAAGTGTTTTTCCTGAGTTGGCAGCCTTGTGCGGAATTTGTCTTGCTCATGCCTTTAGCTCCAGCATCCAACAGCTATGTCTTTTACATAAAATAGATCAATACAGTTCCAAGGGATTTCACTAAACAGTTTACTCAAAAAATGTCTTAGTCTATAATTTATGTATGAACTTTTGGCCTTGTATTTTGACAGTGCTCAACAGGAAAATTATCTTTAAATTTTAACCTTGATTCTTTTCTATTCAGTGAGTAACAGTTATAAAGCACTTTAGATTTTAAGTGTTTTTTTTTTTTTTTTTTAAGATTTATTTATTTCTATGAAAGGCAGATGGGTGTGGAGGGGGGAGAGAGAGAGAGAGAGAGAGAGAGAGAGAGAAAGATTTTCTGTTTGTTGGTTCAGTTTCCAAATGGCTGCAACAGCCAGGACTGGGCCAGGTGGAAGCCAGGAATCTGGAGCTTCATCCAGGTCGCACACATGGGTTCAGGGATCCAAACACTTGGGCGGTCTTCTGCTGCTTTCCCAGGCCATTACCAGGGAGCTGGGTTGGAACCAGTGCAGCTGAGCCTGGAATAGCACTCATATGGGATACTGGCATCACAGGCAGTTTCTTAACCTGCTATAGGTTAAGCCCCAAGAGTTTCTTTTTTTAAGAGCACAAATATCAACTCAGTTAACAGTCTGAGAACATCTCACAGGATGTGCCTTTGACTCTTCACTGTTGGTAAATAAGTAAATGAGATTGTTCTGTTATTGTCTACCAGTTACTTTCGTAGGCACTTAAATCTGTGTAAGTGTTAGGGAGCACTCTAAGGAAAAAACAACAGCCCATTCTTTATCTGAATTTCTAGGCTTTTAAAATAGTTATTTCATAGACATTGACTGTATCCTGTTAGGCATATATTTTGGTTCTTAAAGTAGAAACCCATAGTTTAAAATCTACACTGCTATTAGGTCTTTGTTCAGACTTTCTCAGGTCCCCTTCTCCTTAGCTGTCAGAGATACTCCTTAGCTGTCAGATATCCCTTAAGGATACAAGGTATGGCTCATACAGTATTACTGATATCAGTGAACAGGGGATCCCTATGAGAAAAAAAATGCGTTAGGTTCAGGCTAGCTGTCCATATAGACTTAACAGAAATACACTTACATAAATTGCTTCAGTTGGTGAGGCATGAGATGTTAAGAGAATGCATTTTCATTTGTGAATTTAGCATTTATTTTCACATTTGTTCAAATCACACACAGATATACTTTTCTATTGTAATTTCAGGGACAGTTGCCATTGGATCAGAGAGGGTATGAAGTTAACCACCTGCTCTGGCACAGTGTTGCTGCATGGTCTTGTGTTCAGCGGGACAACCCTCAGCTGGATGACGTGCTCCAGCATCTCCTGTCCCAGAAAACTCAGCTTCAAAAGAAATGCTGGTAGGGTGATCCTATAAATCCAAGTAGCTCATGGAGAAACCTTCGTGCTAAAGTGTTCAATAACCTTTGTACTTAAATGTTAATCACACCTCAGTTGACTATGAAGCAAATTTAAAATCTCAGTTCCAAAGGCAAGGGCAATTTATATATTTTGTATCAGTTCATCTCATCAATAAATTTTTCCTATCTTGTTTTTTTCTGGTTTTGCTAAATGTGAATGCATATCCAAGGGTACTTCAAAAAGCTTTTGGAAAATGGAAATAGAAGGTAATTTTGTTACTATAAATTAATTTTGAAAGCCGTGCATAGTTTTTCATAATATGAGTTTTTTGAAGTCTCCCTCCCTAAATATGGATTTCAAAATTTTTTGCAATAAAGCAAACTTATCTTTGAAATACATTTTCCATGAACTTTCTGAAGTGCCCTCATATTTTGTAGTGTGTCTGTAGTAAATGAAATCCGTTATTGAGACATCTACTCTGTATTTAAAACATCTTTTATTTTCCATATTCATCCTTGGAGTAAATACAACAAGATTCTATTTTTAATGCCTTAACGTGACAGAAATGAACTTTGATTGAGAGTGTTCGTTTCCTCCTGTGCACAGTGTTCACTTGAAGGAAGGAATTTTTTTTATGAATTCACAAATGATAATTGTGTATATTTAAGGATACAAGGCAATGGTGTGTTATATGAATATCATGTTCATGATTTTATCACCCTAAGTGAGATATCACTGCCCCACTTACTTTGCATTTATTTGTGGTGAAAACATTTAAAATTTATTCTTTAAGCAATTTTGAAACACACAGTATGGTTCTAATTGTGGTCACCTTGCTGTGCAATCTGTTGGTATAACTTACTCTTCTGAAAGGCAGAATTACAGAGAGGCATAGGCAGAGAGAGAGATAGAGAGGCCTTCCATCCGCTGGTTCACTCCCCAGATGGCCACAATAGCCAGAGCTGTGCTGATCCAAAGCCAGGAGCCAGGAGATTCTACCCGATTTCCCACGTGGGTGCAGGGGCCCAAGGACCTTAAGCCATCTTCCACTGTCTTCCCAGGCCATAGCAGAGAGCTGGATTGAAAGTGGGGCAGCCAGGACTTGAACCGGCACCCATATGGGTTGCTGGCACTACAGGTTGCAGCTTTACCCACTACATCACAGTGCCGGCCCCTGACTGAATCTTTAAATCCTTTGACTAACCTCTTCGCTTCCTCAACCCCTTTTTCTCACCCCAGTCTTCTGGTAACCACCATTCTACTCTCAACTTCTATGAGTATGAATTTTTTTAAAAAATTTCATTTATTTATCCATTATTTATTATTTATTTATAAAAAAGAGAGAAAAAAAGGAGTTCTCTCTCCTACTTGTTCACTTCCCAAGCTGCCCACAGCTGCTGGAGCTGGGCCAGGGCCAAAACAGGGAGCCACATCTGCCATCTAGGTCTCCCACCTGGAGAGCAGGAGCCTCTCAGCATCTACATTAGCAGGAGGCTGTAATCAGGAGTAGGAGATGGGAGTCCGACCCAGGAACTCTGATGTCATACCACTAGGCTAAACTCCTGTTCCCGAGTTTGGATTTTTTTTAAGTTGTTTTTATTTTTTTAAACTTTTATTTAATGAATATAAATTTCCAAAGTAAAGCTTATGGATTACAATGGCTCCCCCACCCATAACTTCCCTCCCACCCGCAACCCTCCCCTTTCCCTCTCCCTCCCCCCTTCCATTCACATCAAGATTCATTTTCAATTCTCTTTATATACAGAAGATCAGTTTAGCATATATTAAGTAAAGATTTCAACAGTTTGCACCCACATAGAAACACAAAGTGAAAAATACTGTTTGAGTACTAGTTATAGCATTAATCTCAATGTACAGCACATTAAGGACAGAAATCCTACATGAGGAGTAAGTGCACAGTGACTCCTGTTGTTGACTTAACAAATTGACACTCTTGTTTATGGCATCAGGAATCACTCTAAGCTCTTGTCATGAGTCGCCAAGGCTATGGAAGCCTTTTGAGTTCACCAACTCTGATCATATTTAGACAAGGTCGTAGTCAAAGTGGAAGTTCTCTCCTCCCTTCAGAGAAAGGTACCTCCTTCTTTGATGACCTGTTCTTTTCACTGGGATCTCACTCGTGGAGATCTTTCATTTAGGTTTTTTTTTTTTTTTTTGCCAGAATATTTTGGCTTTCCATGCCTGTAATACTCTCATGGGCTTTTCAGCCAGATCCGCGTGACTTAAGGGCTGATTCTGAGGCCAGAGTGTTATTTAGGACATCTGCCATTCTATGGGTCTGCTCTGTATCTCGCTTCCCATGTTGGGTCATTCTCTCCTTTTTTTATTCTATCAGCTAGTATTTGCAGACACTAGTCTTGTTTATGTGCTCCCTTTGGCTCTTAGACCGATCATTATGATCAACTGTGAACAGAAATTGATCACTGGGACTAGTGAGATGGCATTGGTACATGCCATCTTGATGGGATTGAATTGGAATCCCCTGGTATGTTTCTAACTCTACCGTTTGGGGTAAGTCAGCTTGAGCATGTCCCGAATTGCACATCTCTTCCCTCTCTTATTCCCACTCTTATATTTAACAGGGATCACTTTTCAGTTAAGTTTCAACACTTGAGAACAACTGTGTATTGATGTGTTGATGTACAATGTAATACTTTATCCATTTTAGTTTTTTTTTGTTGTTGTTGTTTTAGTTCTAGTACTATTGGTTGAACTCTGTAATTAACACACAATTATTCTTAGGTGTTTAAATTTTAACTGAAAAGTGATCCCTGTTAGGAATTTGGAAAGCATTATGCTGAGTGAAATAAGCCAGTCCCAAAGGGACAAATACCATATGTTCTCCCTGATCGGTGACAACTAACTGAGCACCAAAAAGGAAACCTGTTAAAGTGAAATGAACACTATGAGAAACAGTGACTTGATCAGCCCTTGCCCTGACTGTTGATGAACAACTTAATATGTTATCCCGCTTAGTATTTTTTTGTTTGTTTGTTCTACCTAATACCTTTGGTTGAATACCGAGTTTAGATTTTTTAGAATCCACATATAAGTTAGCTCATGCAGAGTTTGTCTTTCTGTGCCTGGTTTATTTCATCTAGCTTAATGTCCTACAAGTTAATTCTTGCTGTTGCCAGTGATAGAATTCCTTTCTTTTTAAAAGGTTAGTAGTGTTCCTTTGTGTATATACATTTTCTTTATTCATTTGTCTATGGATGGACACTTGAGTTGATTCCACATTTTGACTGCGGTGAATAATGCTACAGTGAACATGGGAATAAACATATCTCTTCAGCTGACTCATTTCATTGGGCTATACATGCTCAAAAGTGGGGTTTCCAGGTCATATGGTAGTTCTGTTTTCAATTTTCTGAGTAACTGCCACAATTTTTCAAAAGAACTGTATTATTACATTCCCATCAAAAGAGTACAAGTGTTTCCTTTTTTCTCTATCTTTCCCAACATTTATTTTTCATCTAATTGATAGTAGCCATTGGAACAAGTGTAGGTTATATCTCATTGTGGTGGTTCTAATTTACATTTCCTTGATGATTAGTGAGAACTGGAACATTTTTTCATCTATCAATTGACCATTTGTATGTCTTCTTTTGAGATATGTCTATTTAAATAATTTGTGTTTAATTGTGCTGTTTCTTGTTATTGAATTGTTATATATTTTGGATATTAACCGATTATCATATATTTTTCCAAACATGTAGAATATCTCTTTGCAATATTCGTATTTTGTTTGCTATACAGAAGGTTTTGAGTTTTATGTAAGCTCATGTGTTTGTTTTTGCTTGGAGACTCATATCTAAGAAATCACTGCTCAAAACCATTTCATATAGTTTTTCTCCTAAGTTTTATTCTAGTACTTTGGTTATGGTTTCAGATATTTGGTTTAAGTCTTTAATCATTTTGAATTTACTATTGTATATTATATATTTGTCCAGTTTCATTCTTCCACATATAATCTGTTTTTCCCACACTAATTTTTTTAAAGAGACTAACTGGTCTCTATTGTGTGTAGTTGGCCCCTTTGCCAAATATCAATTGACTAAAATTGTTTGGGTTTGTTTCTGAACTATCTCATTCCATTCATTGATCTGTTTGTATGCAAGTATCCTGTTGTTTTGATTTCTGTAGTTTTGTAATTTATTTGAAATCAGGAATTTATTTGAATCACATTTTTCTATCAACATTTTATAGTTTTCAGTATACAGCTCTTTCACATGTTTAAATTTACTTCCAAGCATTTTTTGTTTTTTGGTAAATGGGACTATTTTCTTAATTTGTTTCTCTGATAGTTTGTGTTAGTGTATTGACACACTACTGATCTTTATGTGTTGATTTTGCATCCTGAAGCTTTACTATTTTGCATATTAGTTTTTACAACTTTTTGGTAGACTGTTTTGGGTTTTCTATCTATAAGGTTGTTTTTGTCAGCAATCACAGAAAATTTAACTTTTTCTTTTCCTATTTGGATTCCAGTTGCTTCTTTTTCTCACCTAATTGCTCTAAGACTTTCAGTACCATGTTGAATGAGCAGAAGTGATGAGAGTGGACATCTCTTTCTTGTTCTAATCTTCAAGAACAAGCTTTCACATCCCCATTGTTGAGAATAGTGTTGGCTGTAGTCTTGTCAAATATGGCCTTTATTGTGTGAAGAACACCAAAGGAGTGTTTCTGAGGAAACTGATCAGAGGGCGTTCCTTTCCTTTTTTTTTTTTTTTTTTTTTTTTTTTTTTGACAGGCAGAGTGGACAGTGAGAGAAAGAGAGACAGAGAGAAAGGTCTTCCTTTTCTGTTGGTTCACCCCCAATGGCTGCTGCAGCCAGCGCACCGTGCTGATCCGAAGCCAGGAGCCAGGTGCTTCTCCTGGTCTCCCATGAGGGTTCAGGGCCCAAACACTTGGGCCATCCTCCACTGCACTCCGGGGCCACAGCAGAGAGCTGGACTGGAAGAGGAGCAGCTGGGAC